AGCGAGGGAGGGAGGGAGGAGGGAGGAGGAGGAGGCGCTCCCTATGCTGGGAGGGCCTGGGGGCGGGGAAGCGGCCGCCGGCCTCGGGCCTGGATGGGAGCGCGGCGCCGCCACCGCCGGAACGGATCCCCTGGCGGTTTGCCATCTTGAATTGGAAGCTGGACTGTAGGCATCCTGGGCTAATGTCTGCAGAGAAAGTCTAGAGACTTTTGTAAAGCTCGATCACTTATACATTAAACTTAGGTATTGCACATAAACTTAGGTGCGGTTGTGATTATGCGCAGATTTCCACAAGTGTGCCTTAATGTTCTTTGGAGGCAGGGTATGTAATTGGTTAGGGAGAGTTAAGAAAGGCCTTCAGAAAGCCCGAGTCCGGGACGTGATCGGCTAAACCTTCCTCTTCTTTCCCCGCTTCCTCTCAGGATCTGGTGAAAAGCCATTTGATGTATGCAGTTAGAGAGGAAGTGGAGGTTCTGAAGGAGCAGATCAAAGAACTCATAGAGAAAAACTCCCAGCTGGAGCAGGAGAACAATCTGTTGAAGACCCTGGCCAGTCCGGAGCAGCTCGCCCAGTTTCAGGCCCAGCTGCAGACTGGCTCCCCTCCGGCCACCACGCAGCCACAGGGGACCACACAGCCCCCTGCACAGCCAGCATCCCAGGGCTCGGGATCCACCGCGTAGCCTGCGATGCCCCCCCGGAACTGGCTGCTGCTGTCTGAACTGAACAGACCGAAGAAGAGATGTGTTAGCGAGAAACCGCCTCCACCGTCACCCATTTCACCGCCGTCTACGAAAGAGACGTGAGACTCACATGCCATTCTCGCTTTTCCCAGTATTCAGCACTCATATGCTTTTGGCTTGAAGAAATGTACTAGTTGAGTGAATTAAAGGTTAATCAGAGAATGAGCATGGATGTGCCCTGTGCGACTTGGCAGATGTCTGAGGAATGGTTTAATTGATGCTGAGGAGCTGTGTGCCTTTTCAACCCTTCCCAGCCACCCACCCTGCTTCCAAGAGCTCTGGGGCTTGCCTGCATGAGGCTCGGAAGGTGGGCTGCTCTGGATTTTGTGCTCTCCTCTCCTTCCCTTCAAGGAACTTAAAGAGAGGCCAGAAACAAGACTGCAAATGGGGGGGAGGGGTTTAGTCGTTTTACAAACCGACAACTGTCACCAAAGTTTATAAAACACACTAGTACTGTCCCTCTTTTCTGAAACATCGCAGACAAACTATAGAGACGAAACGGTGACAGGGACCTAGGCTGTCATTATGAAGGTTGTTTTGCTTATTGTATATTTGTGTATGTAGTGTAACGAATTTGTACAATAGAGGACCGTAACTACTGTTTAGGTTGTACAGATTGAAATTTAGATGTTACATTGGCTGTCTGAAAAGGTGTGGCTTGTCCTTTATAGAGAGACCTACAGAAAAACTGTTTCATGACAAAAACCACACCTGAAGAAATGTTAAGAATTTGGCCCAGTTAGTTACTTGGTGTCATTTGAAATCTAGCTGCTGAATCTTGTGGAGTAAATCCCTGTTCACCGATGTCGTCTCGGCTGAGCTGGCTGACTACATGGAGAAGTGGTCACTTCCTGAGCAATGGGTTTCCCAGTAGGGGTTTCTGCATATCACCTGTATAGTAGTTCTCTGCATACGTTTCTGTGCATGTTCGCTACAGTTATCACTGTATTTACCTGTTGTTCTGTCACCTTTCAATAAAGCATATAAAATGTTGATACACCAGTGTCTCCACGCCACAGTGTCCGTTGTCATCCCCACCTGCTGCTGATGAAGTACAGCGGTTTGCCTGGTAAAATCTGAAAGGGAGTGGAAGGGTCGGACAAAGTCGGGACGTGAGGAAAGCTTACGACGGTGCGTCGTGTGGCTGAGCAAGGGCCAGTGAAGGAGGGGCTCCGTCCACTTGTGACTTGCGTAAGTCACTTCACCCCTGTGGACTGATGAAAGATGATGTCTTCAGCTCCCCCCCATCTAAAACTAAGCATTTATGTAGAACTTAAGCATCTGTGGTTACTGAACGGAGAGGGAGTGAGCCTGATTCTGTGTATTCCCAGTTAAGATCAGAGGTAGGAGTGGGAACTCTGTTACTGTGAAGCGGACCATCTTCCTGCAGGGGAATGAGTTTCTTGGCCCTTAGAGTAATTCTGTTTTTAGATACTATTGGGGGGGGTTGAATGGATGTAACGGGCTTGAGGCAGGTAGGACCTGGTACCTAAATCCCTCCTGGATGATTTGTAAAGTGCTCCAAATAGACACAGTGGAGCCTAACGCAGGAGTAAGCTGGGTCCTGGAGGCCCGGGCTGGGCTCAGCTTTGCAGTCTGCCCCAAGACCTCCGCGGCAGCCCTTTGACCCAGTGGGAATCGGGGCCTGTGTGTTCAGCTCTCCAGTGTAGAGGTGTACGGAGATGAGACTGGAAACAGGACATCACAGCTCACGGAGGAGAATGGGTGGCCCTGGTTATTAGGTGGGAGGGTAAAGCAGTTGACTACTTGTTGGTTTTTTTCGAGACAGGGTTTCTCTGTGTAATTTTACTCCCTGTCCTGGGTGTCTCTCTGTAGACCAGGCTGGCCTCGAACTCACAGAGATCCGCCTGGCTCTGCCTCCCGAGTGCTGGGATTAAAGGTGTGCGCCACCAACACTGCCCGGCTTGGACTTGTTTTAAGCTGGTGACAATTGCCATAAAGGTATTTGGGGGCTGGCAGGTGCTTGGGAAAGCCTCTGTCGTGCTCGTTTAAGGGGTAGATAACTGACTGAAAGGGATACTTAGGTAGTCATACTTCTCGTAAAAGGAAACGGTGGACAGTGGCCATCTCATCTTTTATATTAATGTAATTGTGGGGAGTTTGAAGTCTCCATCTTTTTTTGTTACACAGGACTTAGTTAACTGTTTCTACTAATATAAAACTCCCATGAAATGCTGGTATCTTGATTATATGTGAAATAATAATTAAAATCAAAACATGTCTGCATGCCCCTTCCTTACCTTTGTAGATACAGAACATCCTTTATTGGCTGCTATTCAAACATTCAAAGCGACATTTTGCTACTTCCTGTGGGTTACTATGTAATCGATCGTATCACACTTCATGTTCCACAGGCCGGGAACAGTTTTCTAAAGTGGAAGGAGATGTATGAGCACTGGTTGTTCAGGACAGCAGCAGCAGCATAGACAGCAGCCCACTGAGGCAGAGACAGAGGGACTTTCCAGGATTTTAATGGATGCCTGCTTTTTGTTTCAAATGAACAATGTCAGGAATTCAGGAGCTGGGCTTTTGTTTTTTGCATACTTTAAAAGCAAAAACAATTTTTTTCATCTTGTGATGAACACAGCATGCCAGAATCAGGTTTAAATTTGCTCAAGAAATGTTAATTATAACCATAATTAGAAATGAAGATGAATTTCAATGCAGGCCCTACTGTCCCTTAGGCTGTGTTAAAATGAGTAGTTAAAGCTTCTGGACCTCGCAATATGACTGCATTTAGATGTCCATTTCGGATCCATTCGGAGAGTAATAACAGTAAGATTAGAAACAAGCAGAAAATGAAATTTCTTCTCAGATAAAATAGCCTAAAAATGGAGAACGAATTGCCCTCCAACAGAACTGGGGAGCAGATTGTATGATTCCCACCCTGGTGTGTGGGAGAAAGACAGTAGCTGATCTGAGTGCTGTGGAAACCGGCTATTTGATCTTTTGGGGGGGGGGCAGGAACTCCTCAGAGCCGCTTTCCCATTCGTAAAATAAGGATTGGGTGAGATCTCTTTCAACACTCATAGCTTGCCTAAACTTGGGCTCAAATCAGGGATGTGTTTCTGATGAAGACCGTGGGCATGGGTTCTCCTACGCTGTGGTAGTTCCTTTAGAGAGATCTTTAAGAGCTCTTGTTAATGGGTGTGGAGATACATGCTGGTAGTTCCAGCTGAAGCAAGAAGATCTTGGGTTCAAGGTCATCCTGTGCTATATAAGACATTTCTCAAAGTTCAGTGGGTGGGTAACCATGCTTCATGGTAGGATGGCCTAACCCCACCCTCTCTAGCCGACCCAGGGACCCAGACTGTGATCACGGATGTGTGTGCTACAAGGTTATATCACAGATTCTCTGGATTTCCAGAAACGGCTTATATGTCAAGGAAGATTGTCTCCATTGCTTCCTGAGAGCTCAGTGTCTTTCCTTACGGAGCAGGTCCACCACAGCAGTTCTTAGGGTGACCAGCCACCCTGGTTTGCTAGGGTCTTCCCAGAAAAGTAGTATATACCCAGTTCTAACCACTGGACAGTCCCAGGCAAACTGAGCCGTGATGGTTGCCTTAGATCCTATTGTCCCCTTTCTTGGAGTTAGGTGTCCTTTTGAGACTTGGGTTGTTATAGATGAGTGCTGAAAAGTATGAATTCTGCCGGGTTGGCCCAGAGAAAATCATTTTCAATGATCAGCTGACTTTCTTCCCCTTCTACAGATGGAAGACCCAGTGACCATGGAGGTGAAACCCTTATGATCCTGGGTGACAGGAGGACCAAAGTAGAATGTCCTCCCCTGCTGTCCCAAACCAGGACGTTCAGCCCTAGAAGCAAGCGTGTTTTCACCACTGCATGTTTTAGAATCTTCTGCCTTGGTAGCTGGTGTGGATGTGTATCCTTGAAGTCAGGTGCTGCTGACAAACACCCTAGGCTATGTTGTATTGCCAACGAGTGGGTCATTTGGTGGCAGTCAAATTGTGGAGAGACTGAGATCCATACTGCAAAGTGGCAAAACATTTTGTAGAACTCCCGTCTGTGGTAACGTAGAAGGCCGGCCGTGTGCACCTCTGAGAGGCCTCTCGATGGTTAAAAAGTCAGTCACCACATTACCCCTCCTGTTTCAGAGAAGGGGGGTCAGGGTGGAGTTGTTTTGTAAGTAGAAGAGGAGGGAGTAAACGGCGCAGGAACATGGGGCTGTCTGGTGTTGAACCGGCCCTTTGCTTCTGCATAGGTAACCTTGAGGGCACTGCTAAAGGATCCCCGGTGTGGATGAAAGCCCAGCTAAGCAGTTCTCTCAGGTTCAAACAAAGGGTTCGACTCCTGGAGTGTGCCTTTGTTTTAGATGATGTTCTTCGGAAGGTCCCCATTTCACTGGAGGTGAGGGAGAGGAAAGAATAAAATGAAAATGGGGCGGGCATGTGCAGAAGTCCCTTACCGACACAGTGAGTTGACTGAGAACGGCTAAGAGTGGGCGCCTATGAGTTTTTCAAGGGGGTTTTATTGTCAAGGAAAAAGAAGCCAATCCAGACACATTGTCACAGCAAAACCTCCCAACAACCCTCAGGCCCCCGGACTCTTGGGAGCTGGGAGTGAGTGTGTAAAGTGGCTGTCTGAATAACTGTTTGAGTCTTGAGAAGTGCAGTCTCCTCAACACTGTTCTACACACACTCGTCAGAGACCCTGGGCAAGAAAACTCTAGCGGTAGGAACCTGGAACTTTGGAGAAACAGAGGTTTCTTTCCTTAGAGAAGAATTGGAATCTGCCGGACATGTTTAACCTGGGACCAAAGGGCTGCTCTTAATATGGCCCAACACTCACTCACTCTCTCTCTCTCTCTCTCTCTCTCTCTCTCTCTCTCTCTCTCTCTCTCTCTCTCTCCTCTCTGTGTGATTTTTATTTTTTAAACTCAATTGTAACATTCTCTGGCATGAACTTCATAGATGGCAATGTCATGTTCCAATGTCAACAGGTTGGGATCACCTGGATCAGACAGAGCACATCCCTGCTGCCAGGAACCAGAGCTCTTCCCAGAGCCTGCTCTGGAGGACTTGCTGGTTGCTGGGGCCAACCATTTGTTGTCTTTCTTCCACTGAGAACGTCTTTGCAGACATTGTTCCCAGAGCCACCACTCTGGAGGGCAAGTAGTGACTTGTTATTTCCAGGCGTGATTCATCGGACCTTCCCATGGACAGTCCTTGGTGATCTTTCCCCTGCAGTCAAACCAGGTGGAAGGGGGCTAGCCTTAACCTGGGGCACTGAATGACTTGATGGAACAGGGTCCTTGTCTCCATATCCTCAACTGCAATGTCTCACTGCCATAAAGGAGCAAGAAACATTCCTATTGTTAATTTAGACATACATTTTTAGGCTGTTAACTAGTACACAGACATGGGATGTGTGAAATGATTACAAAGAAATATTGTGAATTAAAGGGTTATATAGTGCAAATTGAGCGTGTCAGAACCTGATAGCAGAAATGGATGAATATATCTAAAAGATAGTTTGTGTATACGTGTTTGAATATGTGCATGTGTGTGCATGTGAGTGCTCAGGAGTGCCCGAGGTCCACATTGCTTTTCTCTCTGTCACTCCCCACCTTATTCTGTAACCAAAGATCTCTCATTGGACTTGGAGCTTACCAATTATCTAGACTGGCCGGCTGGGCAGCAAGTTCCGGGGATCAGCCTGTCTCCTCTTCCCCAGCTGCAAGCTTACAAAAGTGGTTGGGATCTGAACTCAGGTCCTCATGCTTAAACAGTAGGCGCTTTACCTACTAACTCATTCCCTCGGTCCATAAAAGACTGTGTGTGTGTGTGTATGAGAGAGAGAGAGAGAGAGAGAGAGAGAGAGACAGACAGACAGACAGACAGACAGACAGACAGACAGACAGACAGACCAGGACTCATGTAGACCCAGACTGGCCTCAGACCTTTTGTCGAGTAGATAAAGATGACCTTGAGCTTCTGATCATTCTGCCTCTGCCTCCTGAATGTTGAGATTAGTAGGCCTGTACCACCACACCCAGTTTATGCAGTGTTGAGGATCAAACCCGGGGCTTCCTGCCTGCTAGGCAAGCACTCTGCCAACTGAGCTACATGCCCAGCCCTTTAAAGAGGAATCTTGAGTTTGACTTTGAAGGAACTATAAAATAACACATGGGAAGACTAATCTTTGGCATAATTATCAAAATAATTGCCTCCCTATGTGGTGGGGATGAATTATTTTCCTAATAGTTTAGAAAAATATTATGCAATGAGAATTGGCTGGCTAAAGTCACAATGTGTAAATTCACTTTGAAAAACACCACTGGCGGGTGCTCTGCCGCAATCAGAGGTCAGTCTGTTGGTTTGGGGGTCATCTCAAGCCCACTGGCCAGATGTGGCTTTGGGACGTTTTTTTAAAAGAGTAAATTAGTGATATTCGTCCTGATAGGAGAGTCTTGAGTCCAATTCCCTGTGATGGTAACCAGCGGCTGCAAGGGTTGAGTTCACCGTGGACCAGGGCTGACAATTCGGTCACCACAGCCCACCATTCATGCCAAGGCCCTCTGGTAGCCTCCACCATCCGCCACTGGTAGGTACCACTCATTCAGACCATACCTGGTACAGCTAGGTATTTGAAATTGTATTCTAAATTATAGCCAGATTATACCAGCTAATTCTTTTTTATTTTAAAAAATGTATTTTTAAGATTCATTTGAGGTGGGGGTGCGTGCCATTCTTATATGTGGTGGTCAGAGAACTGTGGGGGTTGGTTCTCTCCTGCTGTGTGGGATTGCAAATTAGAACTCGGGTCACCAGGCTTGGCAGCAAGGGCTTTGACCCACCCAGCCATTGCATCAGCCCTAATAGCTGATTCTTAACATTTTGTGGCTGAATCATGTAACAGTCCATATGATTTGGCCTCTTAAAAAGAAAAACATAGAACTTACTGTTACAACTATTGGGTTTTCTTTTTGCTGCATTGGGCTAAGCAATTGGAGATGAGCAGAGTTAGAGATTTGCCTTTACAGATCTGAGATGGCTGAACCAGCCTCCAGCTTGAGACCCAAAGGCTCGTCCCAGGAAAAGGAAGGTGGAATCCATTTCTTATTATATATATTGCACGCTTACCGTGTGCTAAGCATTTTCAAGCATTTCTTTTATTCTTTACAGCAGAAGAGAGAAGTCACTTGCCACTGTGTCAATGATAAGGACACAATACAGATGACACAAATCACATTTGTCCCCTACCAAAATCTGGGGCTCTTAGCCACTTTTTAGCCACTCCCCGCAAACAGGCAGCTACATTTGCCAAGTAGTACCTATCTGTAGCTGTCCCAGAGCTGACATTCTATTCGTCCCCTTGGTTTATACCCCAAAGAGAGGTCCCGTGGAAGGGGCTAGCATGGAATTTCATCCCTTCCAGCAAACAGCAATGTACAAGCTCCTGCCTCAAGCTCCTCCGAGGCTATCACTCACTTGACCAGCAGGAGCCCATGGAACTTCTGTGTCCTCCAAGGAGCCAAAAGGGAAGACAGGGAGATGTGAGAGTCGGAAGGTCCACAGGCGATTATCAAACCCCAAATTGAATCACACCCCCTTGCCCTGATGTGGCCTCAGCTGACTACACAGAACGAATCAACAGCTGTACTCCATGAGCCTCCCAGAAAGCCCAGAGCAGGAGGATTAAATGTTTCTATTTACGATGCCACTACTTATTCATTCATGAAACCGACATACTAATTAAATACCCGCACCACACCATGCTTAGGGAGGAGGCCCCAAGGTGCTATGAGTACCAAATAGGAAACAAAAAAACAAAACATTTCTTTTGAGTCCCAATCCCAGTCTGGTGGCCATATATATTGGGACTCATTCTAATGCTGTGTGAAGGACCTGTTCACTAGAATGTGCAGGGAGCGTTAATTGTCTAAGGTGGGCATGTAAAGAAAGAGGCACAGCTCAGGAGAGGAAGCTTCCCGCTCTGCTGCCTGCTTGTTTAGGGAAGAAGTGCCACACCCTCTGTTGTTGGGAGGCCTCATGTGACAACAGAACTGGCCATGGTGGTTAGCATGGATGCACCTGGCCGTAGGGACCCAGCTTGGTCCCTGTGACGGAATGAACTTCAGTCATAATATTCAGAATCTTGTCCTCCCAACCCTGCCCCTCCCCCCACTCCTCCTGGACCATCTCTGTGGGAGTCAGTGGGTAGATCCACAATAGATACAGCTGAAAGACAGCTGGGCGGAGCTGCGAGTCTGTGTGACCCCCTCATTCCCTCAGTCACCAGGAGCGCTGCAGCCCCATCGCCGCCCTGGATGTGGCTCTTCTCTCAGAACTGGTTTCAATTAGGGTATCTGTGGCTTGCGAACTACAGGGTCCCCAGTGAACAAGGGTCCTTTCTCTGTTCTCTGAGGAATGGCTGTGGGCAGTAGCAAATATTTAGGGAGGACAAGTAAATATTCTAGGGCTCAGAACAAGGATAGCTCAGGAGGAGATGACTGAGGATGGACTCCGGGGCTGAGGAGGCAGGCGGGACCAGCAAAGGGGACTAAGGAAGAAATTCCAAGTGTGAGAGAGGCAAGCCAGAAGAGCTATAGAAGTCCAGAAGTTGGGAGAGCCAAAGTTACATTTTAAGTTTTAATTATTGTACCTAAGAGATCTATGAAACAAAGATGTCTCTAACTTGTAAGCCTCTTGCCCAAGAACAGATAGTTCCTGAAATCCTGGGGCCTATTGATCATGGGTGATAACAAGTCACATGTTCTCACTCCCCTAAACAAGTTTGTTTGACCCATCTGCACCGGATGTTCTGGATCACATGTGGGCAGGAGGCTCACAGATTGGATGTATCAGGATATATGTTTGCCCCTGATTGGACCTGATGGGAAATACAATAAATTATGGGGTTTCCTTGTTAAGCCTCTGCAAACTGCGATTCTGGGCCATTTTCCTAAGAACGTAGGTATGGACCTGGCCAGTGTTTAATTAGAGATTGCTTCAAATTTGGCTTTAAACTGTGATAATGGTCTTATTTTCCATCAGTGGGATTAACCAAGTGTGTGGCTGGCATTAGTGTGAACGTGAGAGATCAGTAGTAAGTGTCCTCAAAGGTTGTTGAGTAGCATGTTGAGTGATGAGTTTAGATACATTAGAGCAAAAAAAAAAAAAAAACCTAACTCAAGGGGTGTGGTCAATGAGGTGATGAGGTCAATGAGGTGATGAGAAGGTGAGAGGAGACAGCAGAGATCTGCATGCTAGGAACCCAGCTAAGAGATAGAAGTAGAAAAATTAGCAAAATTAAGTGGCGGAAATGGAAGAATAGTAGGTACTTTGTGCATTTATGAGTCACAGATATAAAGACTGACCAATAACTGTTGAAGGGGCAAGAAGACATTGGAAGCACAACCCAGATGGGGAACCGGCAGCTTCTCAGAATGAGCGGGAACACGCAGGTGAGTGCAAACACACACGGGCTTGCAGGTGCACAGATGAGCATCCCTTCTAAGGAAGCATGCCCTGTGTGAATCAGGAGGCAGGGTCTGCCAGCACGCTCAGAAGGCAAGGTTTCAGGGACGCTTGGGGAAAGCAGAGGAGAGACTCAAGATTCACAGATGGAACCATTGGAAGGCAATGGCTTTTGATTCCAAAAGCAAAGCCAGACCTTGAGGTTTCCCCTCCGAGCTCTGTTTGCAGTTGACTCTATCCCCAAAGTCAGTGGCCTGGAGGCTGGGCTCTAGGATTGGCACCTGGGTGGGCAAAGGACAGGATGGGCTTGGATCAGCCAGGACATCATCGACTCAGGAACTCTCTCAGTTCCCATGGGAGACAATGGAGCCAGGTGCTGGGTGGGTGGGTGCCTAGGACAGAGAATGGGATTTGTTTGGAAGGCGCACTTCTGCGTCAGCACACAGGGACACCCACAGAGTCACACAGCAGGGTCACAGGGCTGTGAGTAGGTGAGCCACCAAGCAGCCTCTGGCTCCACTCCTTCCTCTGCCTGCAGAGAAGGGACAGTGAATCCCAGAGGTGTGGTGTCACTTATGCATAATCACATGCTCACAGTCAGTGTCAAGCCCTGAACCACAACCGATTACAGAGAGGCCCCGAGGAGAGGAGAGACATTCATTCACTTGCTCGTTCCTCCTTTTCTTCTTTTAGCTCGGTTAGGGACTTGGGTCACAAATATGGATATGGCTTGGTACCTGCCTTTAAACAATGTCTGGTTACTGACAGGAGGTAGCTGTTGGGGTGAGTTATATGAGACAATGAGACATGAGGGGAAGATGGGGTTATTTGTGCCTGGATGTTGGATGTTGAGGATCATAGAAAGCTTCTGAAAGAAGGCCACTTGAACTGGGAACTAAGCAGATGGGGACATTTCAGTGGCAGGGTGGGGGGTGGGGTGGGGTAGCATGTGTACACAGGCCTGGACACATGAGCCAGGAGGAATTTGGTAGAGTTGGTTCGAGAAGGAAATAGCCTGTGGGGGGCAGGGCTTGGGCAAATGGGAGCACTGTCTTGAGATCATGTTCCCATGGGGTGGGAGACACAGGCAGAAACTCGAGGGAGAGATCTTGGAGAAAGCGTACCATTTTGCTCCTGGGAGCTGCAAATCTGTCCATGGAGAAGGAACTATTTGCTAAGACGTGGAGGGAACAGAGCCCTGGGCGGATGAGCTAGGTTCTGGGGTGGGGAGGGAGGCGGCTGTTCCTCCTTAAACACGCAACCCGCAACCCGGAAGGCTCAGGATCCCAGAGGCAAGTCAGACTCCTGTGAATAATGAAAATTAAAAGTGACAGAACAAAACTCTGCAGGGG